AGAGCGTGATCCACCGCCGCTTTACTGGGGAAAATTTCCCCCCCTCTTCCTCCAGAACCCGGGGGGGTCCCCCCCCCCTCTCCGCAAATCCCTCCCCCTGCTGGAACCTCCCCCCCCCGTTCCCCCGGCAAAACCCCCCCTAACCCCCCCTCCCTCTCTCCTCCTCCAGAAAACCGGGGGGGTCACTACCGGTTCGAACCCCCCCCCCCCCAGGAAAACCAGAGAAAAGCACTATGTTCGAGCCCCCCCCCCCCCCGCAAACCAGAGGGGGATCACTACCGGTTCGAGCCCCCTCCCCCCCCCCTCGAAACCGAGGGGGATCACTACCGGTGCGACCGCCCCCCCTCGAAAACCGGGGGGGGTCACTACCGGTTCGAACCCCCCCCACTCCAGAAAACCGGGGGGGGTCAATACCGGTTCGAACCCCCCCCCACCGCACCGCACAGCAAACGAAGCCGGGTCCCCTTCACTCGTCCGCAAACATCCCCACTTGCTGTTCCAGCACCACTGTCCTCCACACGTCCCCGTTGGTTCCACCACCGTTCCCTATGTCCCCCAGTGCCCCCCCACTGTTGCACTGTCCCCACTGTCCCCACCATTGTTCCCACCACGGCCACTCTCACCACTTTCTCCACGGACCCGCCACTTGCCGACTGTCCCCACTGTCCCCACGGTCCCACTGTCTCCTCCGCTGTCCCACTGAGCTGTCCCACTGTTCCCACCACTGTCCCCACTGTCCCCACTGTACCTTTGTCCCATTGTCCCACCGCCGTCCTCGCCACCGCCCTCACCACTGCCCCCACCACCACTGTACCCTCCACTGTCCCACTGTTTCCACCACATTCACTGTCACCACACCACTGTCCCCACCACCACCGTCCCCACCACTGTCCCACTGTCCGCACTGTTCCCACCATTGTCCCCGCTGTCTCCACCAGTGCCCCCACCAGTGTGTCAATGCCTCCACTCTCCCCACCATTGTCCCACCACGGTCCCACTCTCCCAACTTTCTCCAGGGTCCCCACCGCTGTCCCACTGTCCCCACTATACCCACCACTGTCCCACTGTCCCCGCCGCTGTCCCACTGTGCCGTCCCAGCGTCCCCACTGTCCCCATCACTGTCCCACTGTCCCCACCACTTTCCCCACCGTGCTACTGTCCCACCACTGTCCTCACCACCGCCTTCACCACTGTCCCCACCACTACCGTCCCCACCACTGTCCCACTGTCCCCACCACTGTCCCGCTGTCCCCTCACCACTGTCCCCACCACTGTCCGCCCCCCCCCCCCTGGTTTTCGAGGGGGGGGGTTCGAAGCGGTAGTGACCCCCCCCGGTTTTCATGATGGACGGGGGGTGGGGGAGGGGTTCAAACAGGTAATGACCCCCTCACGGTTTTCCGGAGGGGGGGGGGGGGTTCGAACCGGTAGTGACCCCCCCGGTTTTCCGCCAGCAGCGGTAGAACACGCTCTTTTCCATATTTCCCTATATTTTCTGGGTTCTGTCTTCCCCCCCCCACTTTCTATATTTTCCCATCTTTCCTTGGGAATCGACGATTAATTGTGTCTGTGCGTTGTTTTTTCCCTCCTGAATCGTGGATCTCACGTACCTGGGATCTGCTCAAGAGGTCCCCGAAAGACTGAGGCCTCATTCAAAGCGCGGTCCTCCAACACTGCGCCCCACCCAACCCCGTCTCCGTGACGCCGCTGAAGATCAGGAACACCAGCCTGTCCCCAGCTCAGGGGCGGGTGCGACGGAAACGCAGCAGAGAGCACGGTGCACAGCTGTGGGGAATGGAGCTCAGTAACGGTCACACGACACCCGCGCCAGCTGTGCCTCCATCGCCGCCGCCTCTCTCTGCGCTTCCTCTCCCTCACCTCTGCCGCGCGCGTCTCTCCCACCCAGAGTGCGGCGCGCGGCTCTTTGTATAGCGCGCGTCTCTCTCTCTCTCTCTCTCTCTCACATTTCCTGCGTGTCGCGCGCGTTTTTTTCCATCCAGGGCCCCCCGCCCGCCTAGTTTGCTCTCACGGGGGGGACGATGGTGAGGAGGCGGATGGGGAGCAGGAGCTGCCCAAATCACACTAGCCCTCTGGGCTGAGGGGGTCAAGCGTGTTTCCTCTTCGAACCCCCTCCCCCATCCTTCGGGGGCGCGCAGACATGGATTAGCGATCCATGGATTTGGCGCGGCACCTCCCCAAAATGCGGCCAATGCCACCTCGCTCGGCGGCGGAAATCTGCGATTTCCCATGGAAACGGGACCCGTCGCTAACCCACGCCCCCTTGATCCATGCCTGCGATCGCCTGACTCGGGGCTGAGGGGGTCAAGCGTGCCTCCTCTTCGAGCCCCCTGCTCCCTCCTCGGGGAGGGGTGCTTTCCCCTCCTCCTTCCCCTCCTCCTCCTCCTCCTCCTCCTCCTCCTCCTCCTCCTCCTCCTCCTCCTCCTCCTCCCCTTCCCCCTCCCCCTCCTCCTCCTCCTCCTCCTCCTCCTCCTCCTCCTCCTCC